TCTGGTCCATTTTCATCGCCTCTGGACCATTTCATCGCCTCTGGTCCATTTTCATCGCCTCTGGTCCATTTTCATAGCCGAGACCAATTCATCGCCTCTAGTCCATTTTCATCGCCTCTGGACCAATTCATCGCCTCTGGTCTATTTTCATCGCCTCTAGACCATTTCATCGCCTCTGGTCCACTTTCATCGCCTCTGGACCATTTCATCGCCTCTGGTCCATTTTCATCACCTATGGACCATTTCATCGCCTCTGGTCCATATGGGCTCTGGTTTTCTTCCAGACTTAGTCATTTCAGCAGCATTTTCAGATTTTCCATCCTTGGCCCCGATTGCTTTGATAAAACTTTTAGAATAATTAGGATCAATTTTTGGTCCTAACAATCAATAAATTATATTTTATTGGAGATTTTATAAAATTGGTAATTTGGGGATTTCTTGAGCGAGATGTTACAATTAGAGTATGAATCACTGTCCTAATACTTATTATAACACGATATAAATATTTCTTGAATTTCCATCAAACTTTGTAGTTTCCACGTAAAACCTAAATTTTGTAGTTAAGAGATTTATATAATGATTACATATGAATATGTTATGAAGTGAATAAAGAGAAATGATGTTGAAATTTCTTCGATTTTTATGAAGTGAATAAAGTAAGAGTAAGGGGCCGTTTATCAAACACTTACCCCGGTAAGTGTATATCGATAAAATTTAACACTATTATGTACTTACCGGGTAAGATTTTAGTCCACAAAAACGACATAGTATACAATAATTCACCCGGTAAGTGCTTACCATGGTAAGAGTCATCGCCCTCACTTACCGGGTAAGACTCTTGGTGCTTGTCTCGCTCTTACCGGGTATGATTCTTAGTCCTGACTATAGTCATCCGGTAGGTGAGGTAACGTTACGTGGTAAATGCTTACCCGGGTAAGCGTTTGGTAAACGGCCCCTAAATCTATTGTTGAATATCATCCCTTCCAAATCTCGATTCAGGTTGGTTTCTTAATCGATTTCATTAAATGATTTTATCATTGTCATCCAATGTTCTTGAGTTCGGTAGCAACATAAATAACTTTCCATCCTGTGTCCAAGGTGGCTATCAACCAGTGACATACAGCCTCTTGGCCATCGGCTCAACCCGAAATCCCAACTATTTGACTTGTATCAACATACTAAAAAGCTTAAATATGTAAATCTTACCTCCAATCGACAATCTGGGGGTGGGTTGAAGAACCTTAGAATTTCGATCTCAACTAACAGCTGCTACCCTCGGTTTTTTAAGTATATATTTTCAAAACTTGAAATGAATTTGAATGCGAGTGATTTGATGTATTTATATATGGGTGATTATCGAACCATTTTCGTTGTCCTTTACATATGCACAAAGATGCTGGTGAGAAGGAAGAAATCAAAAACGAAACGGGACAGTTGTTGCTTAGAGTGGACGGAGGGGCCATTGTCAATAAAACTCTCATGCAGATTCAGGTAAATTGATGGTTCTCTAATTTTGTTCTTTAATAGTATTAGTTCATGCGAGTGATTTGATGTATTTATATAAATTATATTTTCATGTAATTTTCCCAACTTCTTATTGCAATTTAACCAATTAAAATTTTTTAAACACTCGTCTTAACGCTCTAACCATTTGAAAGGGAAATCAATAAAAACAATAATAAAAATAAAATTTAGTCGTGTAGAGCATGCCTTTGATGATGGGAAAAAACCTCCCGATAATGCCATTGGTATGATGGTATCACGAATCAAAGGGTAACGACTGTTGTTTGGAGCAAGTCTACTAGAGTTGCTCTTTTATAATTGCGATATATGGATGTTTGAACCAGTTCAATTTGCTTCGATTTCATCAATCTTTTTTCACTACTTCTAGTTCTTGATCTAAACCCACTTTGTTTTCATCGAAAGTTTGGTAACCCGTTTGAGTTTTTGTATGATTGGTATTCTTGTTAGCCTTCTTGTGGGATCTTGATCAAGATTCTATTTTGCCATCTTTTGGGCATATTGTTTTTGAATGATTTGTGTTCTTGTTAGTGCTTTTTTGTGGGATCTTGATCAAGATTCTATTTGCCATTTTTTTGGGCATACTGTTTTTGAACGATTTGTATTCTTGTTAGTCCTTTCTTGTGGGATCTTGATCAAGATTCTATTTTGCCATTTTTTGGGCATATTGATACCTTTTAAATTCTTTGTTTTGTAGGAAATTGGAGAAAGAATTATCAAAGGGAAAAACCCATTTCCTAGAATCATGTGGTTTGCCTATAAGCACATATTTTAGTGCATTGAAGCTCTTATGGCTGTTGGAAAATGTAGATGTTGTGAAAGACGCTGTTAAGAAAGGGGATGCTCTTTTTGGAACCATAGATTCTTGGTTAATCTGGAATTTAACTAGAGGTGTTGATAATGGTGTACATGTGACTGATGTCTCTAATGCATCAAGAACCATGCTTATGATCTTGAAAACACTCAATTGGGATGGATCTACGTTGGAAACACTAAAGATTCCCAAGGAGATTTTACCGAAAATTATGAGCAATGCTGAGGTTATTGGTCATGAAGGAAAAGGATGGTTGATTCCTAGAATTCCAATTTCTGGATGTTTAGGTGATCAACATGCAGCAATGTTGGGTCAATCTTGTAGGAAAGGAGAAGCCAAAAGCACTTATGGAACAGGTGCTTTTATACTTCTTAATACAGGCGAAGAAGCGATTCAATCAACACATGGGTTGTTGACCACTTTAGCCTTCAAGATTGGAAAAGATGCTCCTACAAATGACGCTCTGCAGGGCTCAATTGCCATTGCTGGAGCTGTTGTTCCGTGGCTCAGAGACAGTTTAGGTAGTGAAATTGAAGATTTGGCTTCAAAGGTTGACTCAACTGGTGGTGTTTACTTTGTTCCAGCTTTCAATGGGCTTTTTGCACCATGGTGGCGTGATGATGCCCGTGGTGTTTGCATTGGGATTACAAGGTTTACAAACAAATCTCATATAGTCAGGGCTGTTCTTGAGAGTATGTGCTTTCAAGTGAAAAATGTGTTGGATTCAATGCATAAAGATGCCGGTGAGAAGGGGGAACTCAAAAACGAAAAGGGACAGTTCTTGCTTAGGGTGGATAGAGGGGCAACCGTTAATAACACTCTTATGCAGATTCAGGTACATTTTATGCAGATTCAGGTACATTTTCTAAAGCACATATTGTTGATTTTCTAATTTTGTGATCAATAATCAATATTAGGTGGTAGATTATATACTAAAGAAGTGAAGGGATGTTGCAGGCTGACTTATTGGTAGCCCGGTGGAGAGACCAGCAAACATTGTGACAACAGCATTGGGTGCAGCATATGCAGCTGGTTTAGCGGTTGGAGTTTGGACAGAAGAAGAGATATTTTCAAACGGCGAGAGAATGAAGAAAGACACCACTTTCAATCCCGTCTTGAATGAGAAGTTGAGAAAGAAGAAAGTAGCCTCTTGGTGTAAAGCAGTGGAAAAAACTTTTGATTTGGCTGATTTGTCCATCTAAACCAGAAAACCGCATAGAAAACCGCATTCAACAGCTTTTCTTTTCTTTTCTTTTCTTTAAATTCCCTTTCTTCATTACATAGTTTTCTCTACTCTTAGATTTACTTGGTGCAGTAAACGTTATGTTCAATCTATCTTTGTTTATATTACAAGTGTTGGTTTTCATTTCTCAAAGCTATGTTTATACATCATGTTTGGATCATTCAAGTAAAACGAAGTGGAATTTACTTGTCTGTCTTCAACATTAAGTTGTTTCGTTTTGTTGTTCTCAAGATTTGAGAAGTTCACTGGAATAGGCCCAAACAGCTTATTGTAAAACAAGTTCGATGATCGAAAGAGTCGTCGTCCTTACTTAACGGGTAAGACTCTTGATCCTTGCCTCGCTCTTACCGAGTAATATTTTTGGTCCTTATCATACCCATCTTGTAAGGTAATGTGACTTGGTAAGTGCTTATCGTTTAAGCCTTTGATAAATAGCCCCTAAGATACAACAGAACAGAACGCAACTCTACTAGCTGCAAGTGTTCAGCCCTTGATTTATGAAGCTAAGTCAAGGAGAGCACAAACCTTGAAATCACCCTTTCCATGGAATTAGATGCTAAAGATAGAAATCTAAGGGATGGAAAAGCAACAAAGGACCTCAGGACCTCTTTTCTAAGGTTGTTCCTGTTTTAGTGCATCAGACTACTCATGATACCTGGAAACCATTACAAAGTTTAGGCAAGTACTCGTAAAAAATATGGGTCCATGACACAACGGGAGGGATTGGTCGACGAAATATGAAACGGAGACTGAACCTTGATATAACCCATAACAATACATTTTTGTTACCGCGAGATATATTGGTAGCCGCGGATAGTTTGATTCGAACAAAAGTATAATTAGTAATGTCGGCTAAAGATATCATTACGAAAAGTGCATACATGTTGCTTGTACCAAGGGCGGTAAGTGACGGAAGCCGCTATGGAATTGAGAATCTCTGCATCAATGGACTCATCTTCCAAATCAATCGCATCCATTTTCTCTCAGATGCATTGGAGTGCAGCTGTTAAAAAAGGGCATGGCCTTTTTGGAACTTTATATACACCTGCTTGATCTGGAATTCAACTAGTGTATTGATAATCAATTACGTGTCGTTGATGTCTCTAATACATCAAGAACCATGCTTAAAAGTTTGAACACTTGATTGGGACGAATCCATCATTGGGAACATTAAAATTCCAAAATCCATTATACCAAAAATTGTAAGCAATGCTCAGGTTACTGGTCACATATGAAATCAAGGGATGGCTGATTCCTTGAATTCTAATTACGGATATTTAGTCAGGTGTGTGGTAAAGGTGCTCCTACAAACTATGCTCTTGAGGACTCAATCGTCATTGCTAGAGCTGTTGTTCAGTGGCTCAGAGACAGTTTAAGGATCATTCGAAGATTTGGCTTCAAAGGTTGACTCAACCGGTGGTGTTTACTTTGTTCCAGCTTTCAATGGACTATTTGCACCATGGTGGCGTGATGATGCCGGTGGTGTATGCATTGGGTTTACAAGGCTTACAAAAGAGTCTCATATAGCAAGGGCTGTTCTTGAAAGTATGTGTTTTCAGTAAAAGATGTGTTGGATTCAATCCATAAAGATGTCGATGAAAAGGGGGAAATCAAGAACGAAAAAGGACAGTTGTTGCTTAAGGTGGACGGAGGGGCAACCGTTAATGACACTCTTATGCAGATTCAAGTACATTTTATGATGCACATATTGTTGATTTTCTAGTTTTGTGATCAATATTAGTTTGTAGATTATGTACTGGAGTAGTGAAGTGATGTTGCAGGCCAACAGACATAGAGACAACAAGATTGGGTATAAAATACCAATATATAAATCACACACTCATAAGGAGACATTATCTACGGAAGAGCGTCGAAAGCTTCCTTGCTGAATCATCAATGAAGTAATAGCATGTATACATACATTCTTCAGCCAAGTCTAGCCACCTTCTACGCCAATAAGGATTGATGTAAAGAACACCCACAAATCCCAACAGAAACACAACCCATGTCGCACCACAACTTCCGTAAAAGGATACCATATCGATATCATACCAATTACCAGTGCCTTCTTTACCTGATGGATCTATCACCTGCGATGTAGACGTGCATTTCTTCTCTAGTGGTGGTCCACAAAGAAGTGGATTCCCTTTATAGCTCTCATTGGTAAAGGTACTAAACTGTGCTTTCATATCTGGGAGTTTTCCTGATAGATTGTTGTAGGAAACATCAAAATAAGCAACATAATTCAACTTAATTAGTTCTGATGGAACTTTGCCACTCAAACCATTGTAATAAAGGTCCAAGCTCTCTATATTCTCAAGATTTGAGAATTGCATCGGAATGGTTCCTGTCAATTGATAGTGAGACAGGTTTAAAGAGTGAATCTGGGTCAACAACCCTAGTTCTTTTGGGATTTCACCAACTAGTTTGTTACATGATAGATCCAGTCCCACCATCAAAACAAGAATGTGACCCTTGTAAGAGCAAGATTGAGTTTTTATTGTAAATTGAACTTTGTCTTGCATCTCAAGTATTTATGACCATAATACTGAATCATACTCTTTAAACAGAACACTCTGATGGTATCGGGTGGAAGTCTCATAGCTGGAAATTGTTAGTTCTCTGAAAACACGTTTGATAGGGCTTATAATATTTTGGAGGCAAGAAGGTATTGAACTAGAGATAGAGTTACCGGATAAATCTATCAAACTCACATCACTTAATTGGCACAACTGCTTTAGAATAGAACCACTGAAGTTATTTTCTCTCAAAATTAGGATCCTTAAATCGGATAGATTACCAAGAAATTCAGGTATCCGTCCTGAGAAGGAGTTGTTGCCTATATCCAAAGTTAAAACACGAGTCAAACTACGAAATACATTGGGTATTGATCTGGTGAATCTGTTGGAACCCAAATTCAGATGCTTCATTTCTTGGAAATTTAAGCACGATGGGATGGGCCCCGAGAAAGAATTTTGTGAGATATCCAGAAACGAGAATGGTGTTTTTCCGCAAGGAAACGGGCCTTCCTGTTGGTCCCAAAAGGGTCTACAAGAATACTAAACAGTTTGTAGAAGGGGGGGATGAATACAAACACAATTTTCAAATTTAAA